ACACACACACACACACACACACACACACACACACACACACACAGACGGCCTATTATCCCTGCTGTTCTACAGGGCAGGGGTGGGAGGGTGCATACTACAATATAGCAAAATCCTCCAAGTTCCTCGGCCTCCAGGAATCAGCATTAAGGGGCTTGGTTGGCAAGTCCGTAATATGAACCATTAATATTATCTTGTAGTTCAAAGGCATCTACAATTGGACAGTAGGAAAAAATCCAGGGTACTTTCCCCCACCCCTTTTCAGAAATACTTTCTGTGAGAAAGAAGGAGGTGGGGCCAGGGAAAAAGAAACATACAAGTAGGCAAAAACGGAAAACAAGCCGTTCTTTTCAGAAGAGTCTCGCTCTCTCTCTCTCTCCCCACCCCAAACACACACACACACACACACACACACACACCCTCATTAAAGCTTGTTTAAATATAAAACTCAAAGTTTGAGAACTTATAAATAGTATTCTAATTCTGTGTAATCCACATTATATTATAGAATAAAAACTTTATTCCAAATAGAATTATTACCCCAAACCAGAAAACAATAATATAACTATTTCCTGCCAGAAACATGATCTTGTATATCTAAAAGAGTATAAACAACTGTTACCCTGAAATAACCATGAAAGTTCAAGGATAAATTCTCAGGGTAAAAGGCACAGCTTTACCTTATAAAGCTGTCTTTCTCAATTTGGAGGGAATTTGGAAGAAAGTTCAGCTAAGCAAAAAAGTTTATCTTTGTTTCTCTTATTTTCAAAGGGAATGTCTAAGAAATAATTTTAATTTATCACGTGCAGTCCTTTAGGCCTCACACCGTATAGACAACTTATTTGATGATAAATGCATTACTCATTTAAGGAAGTTTTAGTATATTTTTAAAGTAGACGACATACCTGAAGAAAAAAAACTATTCATCCTAACATGCCTAGCATCCCCCTCCCAGAGAGATCTTTGGAATAGTTAAGCCCACTTATTTTTCTTTTTTGGTACTCGGGATTGAACTCGGGTCCTTGTGCTTGCAAGGCAGGCCACCGAACCGCTGAGCTAAACCCCCGGCTGCGCACTTATTTCTTTAAAGTAGCAGAAGAAAGTTGTCATGCTTCACACGAATCATAAGAGCATCTAAAGAGTTAGAAAATAAACAAAAGCTTTTTCCCTCAAAATGTAGCCAGAAAATGAGACCTGCAAACATGTGCTGTATTAGTTTAGCAACACAGAAGAATGAACTGTACTCTTCTACAGGCCAAGCCACCAAAGCAGGGAGAAAATAATGGGTTCTGTTAAATCACTTTCACAGCGCAGGCTGAGCTGGACACAGGACGCACAGCAATGTTCTGTTTGACTGAGAGGACACATGAACGTACAACAGGTTCGCCGCACGCTCGAACTAGGCCCATGCACAAACATTTTCCTGTCTCACTCTCCCTTCAGTATTCTCTTTCTTTCATGCTCCGTAGTAGACCAAAAAGGGCTGCAGATGGTTTGCCATGGCTTCCATGAAACATGCCCTTTGCTATCTGCTGTAATGTGACGGCAATGACCAAGAAAACAGGGCAAAAGTGACTCCATGACGAGAGACTGGTAGATTCATGTCCTCTTCACGGTTTTCTCTGCTGCCATGCGGTACGTGCTGCTTCTTGGAGACTTCCATGCTATTGAGACCACAGGTGGATGTCCAGGCCTTCATCTCAGCTAAGCTCAGTCTTCCAGCAACTCTCGCCATGGTGCCACACACTTAGTGGAAACCATCCTTGGAGCTTCCCTACCAGCTTTACTACCGCTAAGTGACCTCAGTCAGTGTCACCGAGAGCAGGATAACCCAACTGGGCTCTTTCCAAACTCTTGAGAAACAGAATTATACAACATTATGAAATGGCTGCTCCCAGCCACTAAGTTTTGGGATAATCTGCTATGTGGTAGTAGATAACTGGACTTGTTCTTTACCCCTACTTTCTCGTTTCTGTCTCTCTAAACACAAGCAGTGAAATCCAAAGGCAGCCATGCTAATCTAATGAAGTCCTTGAAGTATTAAGGACTATGGCTCTGAAAACAGTGCAGGCAGAATGCAGGGAAAAGAAACTAGACTCCAATCACGAGGCTTAGAGTAGAGCTTTGGGCCTCTAGTTGCAGTGCTTCTAGAGGAAGGTTTGATCCGCAGGCAAGCAGCTACCAAAGGCTACAGAGCTCCCTCAGGGAAGGCCCTACCTGCCGCATGAGCTCCTCTTGGCGCATTCTGATCCTCTCTCTCTCCATCTGGATCCTCTGGAGCCGCAGTTTCTGCTGCTGCTGCTGCTGAGTGGTGAGCGCATTGGGCAGACTCATGAGCCCTGCTGACGGGTTCTGAGCAGGGTGATTCTGCGGGCTCAGGGTGCTGGGTGCCATCTGCTGCTGATGTTGGTGATTGATCACTGCAGGGAGCAAGAATACCCGGGAGATAAATGATGGGGCCTACTACACTTCATCACAAAGACACCATCAAAATACTTCATCCTTTGGAGTATAGATTCCTGAGATTCCTTCCAAAGTACTTTCCTATTAATCATTACTGTTCAAATAATCGTTACCTTAATTCGAATCACGGGAGCACAGATACCAGAGGCCCCTCCTGACTCACCTAGTCTTGGCTTTTGTGCTCTGTTAGAAATCTTGTTATACCTCTTTTGCTGACACTGTGCTGGGGATCAAACACAGGGCCTTGCACACGCTATGTGGGTGCTCTACCACTGAACTACAGTTCTGGGGCCCTAGAAAACATTTTAAGACTTACATAGAACAACAGTGCAAAAAATAACCAAATTCCACAAAGGTTATCACAACTTATGAGAGAGTTTCACCAGGACATCTGGAGGAAGGATAGCTGGGTGTGGTGCATGCCTGAAATACCAGTACTTGAGAGGCTGAGGCAGGAGGACTGCCAAGAGTTCGAGGCCAGCCTAGGCTACATAGTGAGTTCAAAGCCAGCCTGAATTAAAGACAAACAGACAAACAAAAAAAACCACAAGCAAACAAACAAACAAACAAACAAACAAACAAAAAACCATGAGGAGAGTTCTTCCCAAACCGTGCCCTAACTGGTCTTCAAAACATCAGCCCTTACAAGAGACATTCACAGCAAGTTATGGCGGAGCTGCTGGTATCTTCCACATAATTTAGATTTGACCAATTAGACTAAACATCTCAGGTTATTAACTGTAGATTCTGGGAGAGTAAAATTTAGACAATGGCTTTGTTTTAAAAAATAAAGCATACATCAACAGAGCATATTCACCACAGGATAAGAGGCTGTTCACCCCAGTGTTTTTGTTTTTTTTTTTAAATAATAACAAAAGACTAAAAATAATCTTACCACCAATGGGAGATGATGTGCATCCAGTCAGAGACATTCCACATAATAATTCGAAAGAATGAGGTACAGGTACTGCTAGGGAAGCCTGACCTTAGAGCAAAACCTCAAGAAACAGAAGCGTAGGTTTGAGCATGCTATAGTTTGTGGTTAGAAAAGAAAAGGCACATTACACATTCACAGCAGCTTTCTTTAGAAGGGTCCACCTGGAAAGAGCTAACCACGGTACCACTGCAGAGGCAAGTGTCAGAAATGAGAGATCTTTCTCTTCTGTTCTGCACTGTTTGAAGTTTTCCTACATGCTCCCATCCCTGTACCAGGGGATTGAACTCAGGGGCTACATCCTTAGCCCATTTTTTACTCTGAGGTCTAACTAAATGGCCCAGCCTGGTCTTGAACTAGGACTCTCCCGCTCAACCTCCCAGCTGAGTTCCAGCTTCAGTTTTGATTCATTCTTGCTTCAGTGAAGACGTCACTTATTTAGGTTATATTTCTCTGTGGAGACTGGCAAAGGCCCTGACCTGACAAGGTTTTTTCAGACCTGACAACTGCTTGTGTGACGGGTAGCTGGGATTACAGCATGTACCACCACACCTGGTTTTCCACGCACTGATTATTTATGTAAAACAAAATGAAAAGAAAAGAAAAAACCCATAAAACAAAATCAAAAAACATGGCCCTATAGGAATCAAACTTGATGTTTTCTTGTTGTAATGAAAGACGGTAACTCAAATTGCTCCAAAAGCAACCAATAAGGCTCAGAATACGATCAAGATCATCACAATGGAACTTGGTACAATCCTCTTTGTGGGGATAAGGAAAGCAAAGAGATGAGGAGGAACTTGATCAAGGCCGTAAAATGGTCAGCGTTCTAGAAGCCAGGTGCCCTCACTCCCTCAGGTGCCCACAATTCCACTCACCGCTCTGCTCCGTCCTGGCTGCTGAATTTCCAGCTGTTACTGAACCCTGTGAGGGGAATGCAAGAACTTCGTTTCTTCAAAACCAGGGCTTTTTTGGAGGAGGGGGCAAGGAGAGACAATGGGGGCACAGGAGGCCCAGGGCAGACACGAGATCCCCAGGAAAGCACGAAAAGACAAAGCGTCTGCATTTGTCATGACCAAAACACTCCCCGTAGGGAACACTGTGGGGAGAAAACAACCCTTCCGTTGAGGGAAGAGGAGGAGAATATCCCAAAGAGTATCAAATCCAGTTATCCGAGGCCAAACTGGACTAAGGGAAGACTGCCACAAACTGCCTCACACAGGAAGGCAGCTGTCCGATGGTCCTCACGGGGAGGAATAACCCAAACAGAAAACGTCTTCGTGAAGCAAGAATTCACCAAAACTAAAGCTGGAACATCCTCCCCAAAATGCTTCCAACTAAGTTGGAATTTAAATTTAGATCCCATTTATCTTTTGCATCTCTTTTTTTTTTTAAACTGATTTTCTCTTCTGTTTGGAGATGGACAAAACTGTACTGGGGGCGGGTGCTGGGGATCGAACTTACGACCTTGTGCTTACGAGGAAGGTAGCAGATAAAACTATACCCTTGATTGGTAATGTTTGATATAAAAGAAAACAAGAAAAGCAAACTCCACAGCATCTGAGATACAGAGACTCTTGTGATCCAATAACTGTGCCCGATAAGGCAAGCATCAAAGTGAGAATGGGGGTGGTGGTGGTGGTGGGAGTTATTCACAATGGACAGACACAACCCTCTGGTACATGGGCCTAAACAACACACACAAATGTGTCCGTGGAGCCATTCTGGCAAACATACTTGGTCACTTCCACAAAGCACTAAGAGTGGAACCTGTTCAAGGCCAGGGAGAATTCTGGATTGAGTTCTAAGCGTGTGCATCACTGGCTTTATAAAGAGCAAACATTAAAAAGATAAAGACTTTTGCTTCCGAACTTCTGCTTTTTTGCAGCACCAGGCAACAGAGAGAGACAGCTCGCAGAGAAAGTTCTTTGGCAGCTTCCCGCTTCCAGGAGCTGCAGACACAGAGGGAGGCCAGGGCGTCGGCTGCTCGGCTCCTCTCCTGGAATGTTTGACAAACGTTTTCTTGGCCTCAGAGAGGTTCAGCAGCTTGCTCTTCTGTGTCCTGGGCTTGCTTCCCTCATTTTTAAAATAGGTTTTGGTCACACACACACACACCAAGCATGCAAAACAAAACCATAAGGTTAGGCTTAACTACGAAACCATCACAGGCCTGCACAGGGCTGGCTCTGAGAAGATCACAGAAAAGACAACCAGTTCTCCAAAGGCCAGAAGTCACACCTAACCCCTCAAAAAACACAGACATTACTTCGCTCCCTTCAAGTCCTTCCCAATTTCCATTTGCGTCTAGAAGAGCAAAGAGGAACACCTAGCAGCTCTAGCTGTGTAACTCATCAGTCTCAGCTTCTCTCCTCTACAACAAACTTCTTCGCAGAGGTGTCCCTATGGCTGGCATTTTGAAGAGAGCTTGTGGTTTTGTCAACATGTCAGAGGCACGATTCCATTTAACCGACTGGGTGAGCCCTTCCCCAAGCCCTGTGAGAAGTCCTCCTCTGGGTACTTGCTTCCCTTCTGCTCTGTTAGTAAGGGACAGGTTCACACATGGCTCACAGAGGCTCAGCAGTTTAATAAAAGTATATCCACAGCATCCAAATTACTATAAATAAATGACTGAACACATAAACGACTGGGAGAGGAGACAAATCACTGGTACAGAGGAATTCCAACTCATTTTACAAAGACACACAGTCCTGAAAGGGACAACGGACATAACTGCAAAGAATGACTTCATTCCGAAGGGTATAGGAGGACTCAACTTTATTGTGGAGAAATCTGAAAAGTACTGCCCTAGCCCAGTGCTGAAGGCTATCACTAACAGTGGAGAGATTCGATGAGAGTACATAACCTTGCTGTGATGGGATGGAAATGGTCATTTGTTTTTCTTTTTTAACTTTCTAATGTTCTCCTCATAACTCATTTTTAAGTCTCATCATAAGAGAAAAATCAGACAAATGCCAATGAAGGGGAATCTTACAAAATACCTAAGCAGTATGCCTCAGACAGAAAGAGCCTAAGGCAAACGTGACTGGTAAATGTAGTGAAATATTAGAAATGGGACCGGGAGACAGAAAAGACATTAGGTAAAAACTAAAGAAATCTATTAAATAAAGTATGGACCTTACCTAAAAATATTCTATCAAGGGCCAAGGATCTAGCTCAGTGGTTCCGCCTCCTGCCTCGCAAGCACAATGTGCTCAACACTGTATCTTCAACAGTCACTGTAGTTTTCACAGAGGATATAAAAATAGATATAATATTCAAAACAAAATACAGTCTATAATGTATTTTATGGAAGTAAACACATTAAGCTAAAAGAGAAAAGAAAAAGCATTGTGTCCAGATGTGTTCCATTGTCAAACAAGACTGTGAAACTTTCAGCTAAGTAGTTACAAGAATTTATTTTACTGCAGGATTTCTCAGAGCCCTTAATACAGCACACTGTGCAAAGAGTGCTTTCTGAGAGGGAGGCAAAAGTGCAAAGCTTCTCAAACTTGAAGTAGGAATACTAAGAAATGCTGATCTACTGCAACTTTGCAGATATTTTGGCAGAATACTGAATTAAAGTATGAATTAACATTAAGTCCCACTCTGTGCTTTTTTTGCAGTACCGGGATTCTAAACGCAGGGCCTTCACACTGAGCTTCTTCTCCAGCACCTTTTTTTTAAAAGACAGAGCATCTCACTAAGTTGCCCAGCTGTTGTTTGCTCCTCCTGCCTTGGCCTCCCAGAGTGCTAAGATTACAGGCATATGCCATCACCATGCCCAGCTAGTGTTTGTTTTTGTTTTTTTTTCAAATTTACTAAATAGCTACTCCGACCTCAAAATCAGAGGAAGAATACAGGAGCAAGTAGACATTGAACAAATAGTTTCACATGCCTAGAGTTAGGGCCCGATGAGCAAGATACAAAGCAAAAGAACACTAAAACAAAACACAACACAAAGCCAGTTAAGCCAGTGTGCCTGTAGCTCCAGCTACTTAGGAAGGCTGTGGCAGGAAGATTATC